GAAGATTTTTGCATCAGTTCAGGATTTATCTACATAAAAATAATAATCTGCTTCAGAAAAGTTGAAGATTTTTGCATCAGTTCAGGATTTATCTACATAAAAATAACACAAAAATCAAGATATGGTAGAAAACAACCGAAGGNAAAAGTTGAAGATTTTTGCATCAGTTCAGGATTTATCTACATAAAAATAATAATCTGCTTCAGAAAAGTTGAAGATTTTTGCATCAGTTCAGGATTTATCTACATAAAAATAACACAAAAATCAAGATATGGTAGAAAACAACCGAAGGGGTGAGCAGATGGCATTAATCAAAGTCGAAGATTTTTTTTAATTGATAAAAAAATTGTGGGGAGATGAGCATAATATTTAACGATGTAGCCTGCAACCATCAACATTTCCAGATCATATTTAAACATATAAGCTGAATTGAGAAAGATAAACAACGATAAAAAACAAGAAAAACCAGCATACAAAAGGCCATAAAATATGAAGTGGCTCAGTAGTATTAAGCACTAATAAAATACCACTAAAATTACAATTGGTCTACAAATCTGCATTAACACTTCACAAGCATTACCGGAAGCGCTGCATAGTTCCACCTTAATTAAGTCATCAAGGAAGCCCGTGATCAGAACGCCCTGCACCAAAAAGACCAGGGAAAATAATCCGTTTAACAAGCGGATCAAGAGCGAACATCTACAACAGATCGATAATAGGAAGCCTTTCATGGCAGGCAGGTGTTGTCCGGTGATTAGACCTTGTAGACCTGCGAGTTAACACGCCTCAATATATGCCACTGTGTTGCGAATTGCATCCAAAGGTCGTATAATGTTGTAGCAACGGTGTGGCGGAAATTTTAACGTCATGTCTGATGTTGTTCTGACTCTGTACACAATGTGCCGAACACTGAGTTAATTTGGAAGCCGTATATCCAAACTAATTTCCGAACAGTATTTCCAAAATAATTTAGGAGCCGTATTTGCAAACTAAATTCGGAGCCGTACTGCGGATCTAATTTTGTAGTGGTATTTATGAAGACCGACATAATTTGAAAGCCGTATTTGTGAGCTCCAAGTTAATTTGGGAGCCGTATTTCTGTACAAGCACGCGTGAAGATCACTTACATCACATTACTCATCACGATCAAAAAATACAGTAAGCGGCAACGTCCTAATGTGTAGTTACGCTGAGCTGGTAATAGCATAATAGCCATGCTATAAAATGGAATGTCCTCGCTTTTACTTCTGTGCAAATAATAACGTAACTTTAATTTATCCATGAATTGCACGTAAAATACTAACGTAATTATTAAACAAAAATAATTTTGTACTAGCGACACAATATTAGCGTATAGTTTAAAGCTTAATTTCGGTGTTTTTTTTTGCAATCGCTGAAGATGACGACGAAAAATATCTTTTCTACGGAGACGTCGCACAGAAATGTCATGGAAATTGCAGTTACTTATCAAAATAAATTGCAGATCACCCGTCATTTCCGGCAATGTGGTGGATCAGTCAAGAATAAGATGATCGGGTCGCCAAATTGCATGGATCAGTCAAGACTTCTGTTATAATACAGTAGGAATTCCATGCACGGCAACTCGAGAAAGAAAGCGAGCTGAGTGAAATTCAACACTTAGTTTACTTCTATAAATAAAACACAAGACTCGCAGTTAATCATCACGGCATCGACAAGCACAAAACTAATCCTTTTTTGTGCTGCTCAAGAATTAAGATTATTTAGTAATTTACATTTTGCAGTCAAATAAAGTAATATCCAGTTCATGCAAATTTATTAAAATAATTTTTTAGAATATTGCTTCCTCATATTTAAACCGAGAACGTTTTAATCGGGAAATTTTTCCACGATGTTAACGAATGAATGTTATGCGTAGCCGTGGAGTAATCAGTAAATATGATCAATCGATTAACCAAAGAAAACTCGAGCAATTTAAGTTATCATTTACCATAAACTAATGATTCGAAATAGAATTGCAAAGGAGACTCGCTAGGGACTCATATGAGCAATTTAGCTTCGCATTAATTTAGTAATAATTAAATAAATTATTATGGCCAAGACGTAATAACTGAAATCGGTGCAGTATAACTTGTACAAAAATGAGCAGGATTTCAAAACAAAATACTAGGGACATTCTCACAATCTTTTAGTCCACCAAAGTTGAAAGAAGAAATCCATAGTAATAATAAAATAATTTAACAACTGATGAATAATATGCCCCATTGAGTTCGCAAATAAAACTAAATTCATGACTAGTTATAAAAAATAATAGCATCAAATGTTTATTTTCGTGTTAAAGAGAGCAACTGGCAACTGTCATGCCCTCAAAAAATGGATGCGTCATACTATCAAAATACTGAAAAACTTTGCACGTAGCACTGATACGTTCTTTTGCCGGGCTGAACTAGGTTAGGTTGACCCGGAACAATACCAAAAATACATCGCTATTTAGACAAAGTCCTACTTATTTCTCTGTGTGTGGCATATCTGAACACAAGAAAAACCTCTGAAAATCTCAGGAGATGTGACAGGGTGAGAGCGCCGGCATTAGCTGAACGCGAGCCATCGGAGCAACGGCCTCGGGTGAAGTCACGGCCGTGTAAACAAGCACGTATATGACTCGTACGTAGGNAGTCAAATGTACCTGTCTCTTATACACATCTAGATGTGTATAAGAGACAGGTATATACGTGAAAATAAGCACGTATATGACTCGTACGTAGGACGTAGAAGACTCGTACGTATATACGTGAAAATAAGCACGTATATGACTCGTACGTAGAACGTATATGACTCGTACGTATATACGTGTAAACAAGCACGTATATGACTCGTACGTAGCACGTATATGACTCGTATTGTCAACAAGCTCCTCGTATACACGCGCTCATCATGAAATCTGCTATCTATGCTCGATCAGCGAAAGATGCGAGAGTAAAAAATGAGAAAGAGCATGATAGTTAAACAAAAGCGAGAAAGAAAGTAGTAAAAAGGAAGTAAGAAAGGAGAGAAAGAAAGGAAAGTAAGGTAAAGTTAGAATATTTCAATTTCAATGTATTTACATTTAAACATTTGCCCTTCAAGAATGCGCCAAGTCGCAGTAAGTTATAGTTATAAGTATAGCAATGGCCGTGTTTTTTTCAATTCCTGCAAAGAAAACTAATAATAATGGAACTGATAAATCAATTGGCATTCCCTTAAAGAAGACAATTATTTAAACAAAAACCGTGATTTGATGAGCTTTCAAAAATCTTGCTCGTACAAATAAAAAGAGACGAAAGAAAAAGTGCACCGCTTCGAAAACTTTTCGTAACGCTGCAATCACGGGTTATTTTTTGGAGTATCTGCAGTCACAAAAAAACAATTGCAAAAACGAGCGATTATAAGACTGCACAATCAGTGAAGTAGAGAAGTGGCGTTTAGGGTGGAGATTAGAAGCGTTAGGGTTTGCTCGGCATTCCTGGCGAGTGGTAACACTCCGTTGCTGGGCCATTGCCATGGGGGAAATTGGTCCCCAGGTCGGCAATGGGCCCCAGACGGGCTATAAACACGGATTTGAGGCCCAGTTACAAGCGAGGGAGAAGCGGCACGAAAAAAATGCTCCACAAATCCTGGCAAAAGCGAGAAATTCTCGCCCAGATGAGCATCTCATTGAAAAATGCGAGAGCTGCATAGCTAAGCCGTGCGTTGCGGAGGGCTTTTTCTACACGAGATTAGGCGGCCCAAACTTGACCCGCTACGTGAGATGTGAAGGCAATATACAAGACGTCATTTGTGAATCCTTGCACTGAGAAATTACGACCTTACGAACGTAGCATAGTAACTATAAACTTCAGCAAATACAAATAATATCAAGAGCATATCAAACAACTGATATAATGCAGACATATAGGGTGAGTTCACACTTAATTAGCAACTATACTGTCTCACTTACGCTCCGGCAGGCAGTTATAATTCGACACGTTGACGGGCGTAAATTTGGTTTGCAAGTAGTGAACATAAAATATATATTGCTAAGTTTTTCATTGTTTTAGGTTTTGGGCGCTTGGTATAAATCTTTGTGCCCATCAGAATTATATGCGGAAGTTTAGAGGCTTCTGGTTTGAGTCGTCAATGTTTCGGTTTGAAAAGAAACGCTATCGCCCTAATCGAAATGAGTGATTTGTTCAAATAGCGATGCACATTTTGACCTTGCGTTGGTCATTCTGAACAATTTTGGCCAGAGAAAGGGTGTATCAGTGTCATGTCCGTTCTTTGCCCTTGCTGATGGTAAGAAGCATGCCACTACTTGGACTATGCGCAGAGTTTTTTTCAGTATGTCTTCAATTTCAAGATCAGGAGCCTTACTATGAAAAATAGTTAATACTTCGTAACGACGTTAGCCAATAACTGACGGCTTCTCAGCTTCACCAACTGATCACAGACGAGAAAGGGGCCACTACATGTACTTTAGCGACTTTAAATTCTCTACCGCCGTATGTCCATCTCCGGGAACGTAACTTTCAAGTTAAATTATACATGAACTATTGATTGTACGCAAAAAAGAACATTTTAAAGTTGTCGTACGTGGCGGCAACCATCAGTGCAAGTCATTTTGCGCTCACTAGCAACACATCATTTTTGGGAAGTAGGCGCGTGACAATATCGCTCTGCATGGTTACTCATGTCAGGCGGTAGAGGGTTATGTACGGTGCCTGACCTGCAATTTCGACCGAACGGTGTTGAAGGAAACGCACCAGCAGACGCCGAACTCTTTCACTATTATATTAAATTTATTCTAGCTAGTTTCTTGCAATTTCAGAAGATCACCTGCAATTTCGACGGTAGCGTTGTTGCTGCGGATGCTGCCGATGATATTAGATGCAACGCACCAGTAGACGCTGAAGTCTTCCACTATTATATTAAATATATTCTAAATAAGTCTTTCACTATTATATTAAATTTATTCAAACTATTTTCTTACAACTTCAGAAGCTCACCGGCAATTTCGACGGTAGCGTTGTTGCTGCGGATGCTGCCGACGGTGTTGGAGGCAACGCACCAGTAGACGCCGGTGTCGTCGTTGTGCGCGTCTTGCATCACTTGCAGGAAGAACAGGTCCCCGGCGGCTAGCACCACGTGGCGCCCCACCTCCGTGAACCTGGCGAGAACGTTGCCTTATTTAATACCAATCTTCATATATTACGAAAAACATAATAAATTGAACTTCTCCAGTCATTTGTTAGAAAAATGTACGGGAGAGAAATCCCCCTCTTGGGTGATTTTTACGATTCCTGAAAAAATACTCAATTTTCCTAATACATGTATTTATTTTCGAGAATTTTTCAATTTCATTACGTGCATCAATATATAAAAATATGATTCTCTTGCACACAAATTCAGCTGTGTTTTTATTCATATTACATCCTATAATGACACACAAATACAGACAGTCGCAAGTAGTTCCAGTGTTCCAGTTCCAGTTGTGCCTACCAAAAGTAAATGAGAGAAAATACAAGCAACTCTGGCACAATGAAAATGATGTAACAATAATATAAAAAAGATAATATAATAACATCAAATTTGCCGTAACCTTTTGCTTATTTTTTATTTTCTAATACCACGGAATTTAACAATTCAGAAAATACTAGGCACTTCATCACAGGCATAAATTCTAGAAATTGAACGAAGCAAGTAAACGCTCGTAGAAAACGTTTGCATATTTTGTGCGAGCGCAGCTAAAAGAAAAGCAAGCACGCGGGGTGAGTGCATTCCGCTGGAGTGTAAAGCGAGAGAGTGTGATTTAGGACGGCCGTGATGATGGCAAGATGGCACAGATAACGCACACAGCCGCTAATTGCGTACAGCCACGCACGAACAATGAAGCTGTTGCGTACATGCAGGCAGTTGCGTAGGTGCAGGCAGTTGCGTACGTGCAGGCAGTTGCGTGCGTGCAGGCAGTTGCGTACGTGCAGGCAGTTGCGTACGTGCAGGCAGTTGCGTACGTGCAGGCAGTTGCGTGCGTGCAGGCAGTTGCATGCGTGCACACATGTGCATGTTGCAAGAGGCGCGTGTTGCAGGAGGCGCATGTTGCAGGAGGCGCGTGTTGCAGAAGGTTGCCACCTCCAATTAGTGCAGTTGACAGCTGTCGGTACTAACGGCCTTGGGAGCATCAGTGTCGGTTACTAACTGCATTTGTGTGTGTGACGAGTGACTACCGAGGCGTCGTGTTTACAGCACGGACAAGTGCACGTAATAGCGGTGCTTGGTAGTGCGTGCGTGAAGAGGTGTGTGCGTGAAGGTGCGTGCGTGAAGAGGTGCGTGTGTGTGTGTGTGTGTGTATGAAGAGGTGCGTGCATGAAGAGGTGGTGCGTAAAGAGGTGCGTGCGTGAAGAGGTGTGTGTGTGTGTGAAGAGGTGCGTGCAGGCGGCGGTTAACTGAGTTTCATGCTTCATGGGATCGAATGATTGATGTATAGCTGCTTGCTTTATGCATGGTGCTAGTTTGAGCAGCACGCATGTATGATGAAGCTGCGCATGGTGCTAGTTTGAGCAGCACGCATGTATGATGAAGCTGCGCATGGTGCTAGTTTGAGCAGCACGCATATATGATGAAGCTGCGCATGAGTGCATGAACAAGAGACAACAGCTGGCAGAGAACGCAGCCATGGTTAAAGAGACTCCCGAGTGTGGAAAGTTTAGATCTGACGAAGATAACAAGATCCTGCGACGACACCAGTACCTATGCGCGTTAAATTCAAGCAAAACGAGAAGGCGACAGCATCAGATTTATCGCAGTACATTTATCTGATACAAAAAATAGTCGACTTATTGTTGTGGAATTGAATTTTTCCATAAAAACACATTTCCACACATCAAAAAGGAGCATTTATGTAACATATAAAAGAATGGACCGATTGTTGTGGAATAAATTTGTTCGACAAAAGACGCATTTCCACAAGCACGATATACAGCGACGTTTCTCCTGCTGATGTTATCTTCGAGCTCAGCGAAGGGAACTCACGACAACAAACCTCCGTTCCTGTTCGATGCGATTGCTTTAAATCAGGTATTTTGTTCGGGAATGTTTCGGCATAAATGAAACTGAGCACATAAAACATACATGAAAATAAATTTTTGTCGTCAAAAAGTCATAATAAATCGGTGAGCGAAGTTAGGCTCGAAACGAGAATCAAATAATGAACAAAAACAATGATTATCGGCTCTCAAAAAATAATTACAATTCAGTGAATTTTATGGTTAATTTATAAGCAACGTTAAATAGGAAATGAAAATTAAGGTAATTTCATCGACTTGACAAGGCGCACCTTCGTTAGCGAGACATAATGCAGCGTTCTCATTATATACCAGATTTCGAAAATAGGAAGAAATAGCGCACTATAAGCTGGAATACAAGGACAGGGATATTTGATTCAACGCAAAAACCAGAAAAAATCCTCAGCTCAAATTGACAACGTTATTTCTACGAGAAAAATGCAGCGGTAAAGAATAGAGCCTCATATGCAGCTGGTTACACTGGACGGCCATCTGCGTCGACGTCGTAAATAAAGAAGCGCTGTAATTAGTAGTAGTCTGCCATGTGTGCGATGTGCTGCATGTGCAGCGTCTGCCATGTGTAAGATGTGCTGCATGTGCAGCGTCTGCCATGTGTACGATGTGCTGCATGTGCAGCGTCTGCCATGTGTGCGATGTGCTGCATGTGCAGCGTCTGCCATGTGCACGATGTGCTGCATGTGCAGCGTCTGCCATGTGTACGATGTGATGCATGTGCAGAGCTCACAAAGAAAGAGCCTATGAAGTTTTCCCAATTTCATCCTCCAATTGATGTTCAGAGTCAACTTTAAATTGAAACACTGCCTATGAATTCGCCACTCCAAGTTCTGATAAAATCATTGCCGACTGTCTCATCAATTATTTTGCTACATTGCTCATGGCTTTCAAAGGTCCATTCATTATGTTATAAAGAATACATTTAATATGTTAGAGCGCATGACGCCACTCCATATGCTCAAGATAAACGCGTTATTACCCAGATTATATGGCTGAACACAAGGCGCCTGATATACATACGTTGCACGCTCACGCGAAGAATTAAGGCAAGTCTGGCCCCAGCCTGGCTTTTAAGTATAAAACAATGCGAGGATACGCCTAAATAATATCATTGGGTGATGAAACTCGATGCCGGGCGGTATATGGGACTTGCAAATAGATTACCATCAAGCGTAATCTATAGGTTACCCAAATAAATAGATTAGCATCACGGGTAATCTATAGGTTACCATTAATATATGAATATTAATGGTATGGCTATATAACGTATGAACGGGTAATATGGCTATATGAACCGTGCGACGACTTCATCTCGATTTTTATGGAGCTTCAAATGGTTTATAGGGTTTTAGTGCATAATCACAGTGGCGTGATAGATGCGTTGAACAACCTTTAACTGATTCAGCTGATTATATTTAGGCAATGAAAAGCAGAACGAAGTAATTAATGGTTCAATAGTGATATATACGATGGATAACAGGTATGATTAACAGTTTATACAAGATGACTGATGACTTCAGAACGTAATACATCTCATCAACTTCTGTCTAAAAGGAAGTTGAATCATTACAAAGTGGCATAATTAATGCTAACTTAACGATAAAATTTATTCAAACATAACGCATTCCTCGCGAAACACACGAAAACAAGGGACAAAGGGGAAAATTTAGATGAATACTTAACGCATTCATGAAGGTTGAATTCATCTCGTTCAGAACTGCATGTAATTATGTGCATAATCCCTCGTGCGGGCAGTCGCATACGAAGCGCATCCTATATAGCAAGCGCACAACAACAACGAGACTGCGTGCATTTCATGAATGCTGAGGTGGCAGCGCAACTGCATGAAAACACTTCCTTAGGCCCAAGTGATTTGATCGCGATGCAGGCAAACAACAGCTTGCACCGACCATTAATATAACTTCAGCGTTAAGCTTTCTATCTTCATTCAAATTACAATTATTTAAATTACACAACTACACAATTATACACATTAGAAAAACACATTAAAATCGATATTGAACAAACAGTTTCAATACTATTTGAACAACTTTTCGAGCCAAATTCAGAATTCACAGTTTTAGCGTAATACAAACTGCATATATTTACTTTTCACTTGCCACCGGTGATTCGTCTGCGGCTCAGACATGGTAGCGTAGAGCGGGTGTTGGTGCATTTAATGGAGCAATGTTTTACTTGGCGCCCTGGCATTGTTTAAGCCGTGCAATTTACATCGAGACCATTAAGTTAATTCAAAAATATGCAGCGACAAGCCGAGCTGGCCTGTTAAAGGGAAGAAATACGGCAGGCAATTTTGGCTCAGCTTGTTATGTAGATATCGAAGTAACGTGTAAATTATGAGGCACGAACTACGCTGGTTATGAAATGCTACAAACTTCAGTTCAAACTTCTCGCAAAGATCGCAGCGAGGTCGAGAGTGCACTAAACCTGCCAGCAGTAGCAGGACATACAACAAATTTTCCATTAAAATGCAAGGGCTTAGGGAATTAATGGGCCGGAATAATAGGGAAGCTGTAAGTAATAGGGCGAGCAGGAAGCAGAGATAGGGAAAAAGTAATGACGTGGAAACACGAGCACGAGGGGACATGTGAAACACGCGTGCACCACTGCAGCTCAGCCGTATATACTCCTGGACAAGAATTATTCCTGAGGCAAATGTGGCATGAACATGAATTTGTCACGACTGAACTGAGGATAATGCAGCGTCCAAATTGTTACCTGTAGGAATATTAACAGTGAGGGTAAATAAAACAATTGACACGCCCAAAGACTTGCTAAAATACAATCGGTACGTATTCCCGTAGGTGGCATGCACAAATTTAACTATTATAAAGTATCAAATGCAAATCTAATCTATCTATGCATGCATTATGCGGCATCGATATATTCCGAACGTAGCTCAAAAAAAATTTTTCAATATGCAAAAAGTATAGGAATATCGTGGAGAATAATTTAGATCAAGTCAAGTCAGTTACGAAGCTCATCGATATTTTTGAGTTATAAACAAGAAGACGTCATTTAATATGCACATGCATCCGCCTAACGCGTAAGACCAAATTATACACTCGTT